TCACAGGGAATGACATGGGGGTGCATCTTTTCCCTCTCCATCTCAGCAGGGGTGATGCAAAGGCTACTACTGGAAGGCTGGGTCCTGACTGGAGCTGGCTCTCTGTACCAGAGCTGTCAGGATGTTGTCAGTTGCAGAAACCTGGGATTGACAGGCGCCAGATCTCTGCTTTACCTGCTCTCCGGTGGAATGTCTCTGCACAGACGCTGAGCAGCTCCCTGATCAGCCCAGAGGTCTGCAGTGGAAGAGGGAGACCCCTTGCACATTGATCTGACCACAACGTTTGTTTCTCTCCTAATAAACAGTGTCCCATTGGGTTGCCTCTACCCTGCTGTCTTCACCTCTCCTCAGCAGTGTGAATTGTATTGGGACTCCCAGCTTAATCTCTGAGATGATGACTGATACTTGTGAGTAAGAATCAGCCATGCCCTGTTTGATTAGTTGGTAGATGCTATGATGAGCTATAGGGTTGTTCTCCCCGTCAGTGGTTGATGCCTGCAGGAAAGAGACAACTGCTGAGATGTTCTTTTATGCCTGTGATAAGCTCTAGTCCCTCAGGTGGAGCACTTGAATGCCCAGGCTTTGTGAGGGGCCCTGCAGCTCGCATGGGGTTGCTTGATCCCCACCACAGCAGAGGAGGTGGAGGAGTCAGACACTGTGTGGTTGGGTTGTGTGAGCCTGGAAGGCTTTGCAAAGCCTGGGCAGGGCTTGGAGGTCGTTTTCCCAGCTGCCAGGAGGAGCTGCTGGGAGAAGTGTCAAGGCAGCTTCTCTAGACTGGGAAGGCTGCGTGTGAGGAAGGGGCCACAATGCCCTGACAGCCCAGGTGCCTGAACACATCGTGCTTGGTTGCTATAGTGCCATGGGCTGGGATCTTCCCTGCCTTAGGAACTGCCCTAGTACAACAGCAGATTACCCTGTCTTGGACCCCCTACAGGATTTTCCCATCAGTTCTGCCCATATGGGCTCTCTCACCTGCCAAGTCCAGCTCCCTCATCTCCCCTTTGTGTCCCCCAGCAACTCGCTCAAGTCCTGGGGGCACGGGATCTGGCCAGTTTGTCTGACCAGCTGGCATGTACCTGTGAGAAACACTGGCGGGCAAGGAGCTCCTAGATCTGGGGCCACTGCAGGTCCTCACAGGGAAGATGTGAACCCCAAACTCTATGGAATCTTCAGACTGAAGGACACACCAGCTGGGGTGAGGAGGTCTCTTTCCAAATTCTTGGCTCAAACTTTTCTCCAGGTTGCAGTGGGTTGGGGAGGACAGGGGAGGACTCTTCATAGAGTTTGAATCAATGGAAGCCAACTCTCCTGACTTCTTGGGTCACTCTCCTTGGAAGGGGGCCCGGCATGGAATGCCCAAGCTCTAGGGTCACACAAGTTCTCCCCACCACTCTGTGGTTGCCATGGTGTTTGGGCTCATGGGAGTGGAAAAGCTTCCAAGTAATTTGGTAACCTGCTGATTGCTGAAGGAGTGTAGGACAGAGAAAGAGATCCCCCCTTTTCCCTTCCCTGGGCTCTGAGTCTCTCTGGGTTTGATCCTCACTGATATCTTTTTTCCCCTTTATCCATATCCTTCTCTGCTTGGCAATTTTCCTACATGAAGTCCCTGGCGGGCTCTGGCACTTCTCTCCATGACCTACACCTGAGCTGAGTCCCCTCTCCCCTCTCCTTTATCTGAAACCCTTCCTTCAGGAGGGTGGGGCAAGCCATGTCTCTAGTCAGCCATCTTGCCCCTCCATCAGTACTGCTATTTTGCTTTTGTTGTTTGTTTTTTTGTTTTTTTTTAAATAATTGATCATCAAAGCATAACTGTTAAGTCTAAAAATCACTTTGAGAATCTTCAACCTCCTCTACTTAAAACTTCCCCAAAGCTAACAATTTTTAGGTTGTATTTTTCTAGAGTTTTTAATTCTATTCATATATACACACACATATGTATTCTATAATATAAAAATAAAAATTACATAAAGAAATGTTTCTTTGTATGTAAGTGGTTATACATAAAATATATCATACCTTATATATTATATTTTTATAAATCTTAAGTTTTATATTTTGTAATATGCTTTTTATCCTATTAATTCATATGGGTCTGTGCAACTCCTTTTAATTGTTGCAAGACGATATGACTATACTATAGTTTATTTCATATGCTTCCACTCATGCCCTTTTATATCATTTTCAATTTTTCAGTATATAGGCAGTGCTAAAATGAATATTGCAAAACTTGAAAGAATGTTTCTGTAGAGGAGACTTTGTAAAGTGTAACTACCTAGTCATAAAATGTGTGTATTTTAAGTGTTCACATAGACAGTGGCTCTGTTAAATTTCACTTCCATCTGCAGCATATCACAATATATGTTTAAGTTGACATGTAATTAACTGAAAAAATATTTGTCAAATAGATAATAAAAAATAATATCTTATGTTTCTAATTACTATTGAGGTTGAAGGCTTTATTAATAATTGCCTGCTCATATTCTTTGTTTATTTTCTATTGAGTCATTTGTTTTTCTTTTTATTTGTAGAAGTTCTTAACTATTTTGGACAGTAATTTTATGGTACATGTTGTACATATTTTCTCTCAATCCTGCTATTTTTTTGATAATTTTTTATTTGATGTTTTTTCTTAATAGACTATTTTTTCAGGCTTAATATTTACAGAAAAACTGAATGGAAACTACATGGAGTTCTCATATGCACCGTCACCCCCCTCCACACACACACGTACACTCTTGCTTTATTTTTAATTTCTTTATGATATTTTCTATTATCAAGAGCTTTTGATTTTGATGTAGGCACATTTACAAATCTTTTATGAACTATTGTTTGTTTGTTTGTTTGTTTGTTTTTTCTTGTTAAGAATCTTTCCTACCCAAGGTCTTTAATTTCCTATATTTTCTCACAATTTTTTAAAAATTGATTTTAGGTTTGCTTTTCTCTGCTCAAACTTCACTGTATCTCTTTTCAAATTTGCCTAACACCCCCATGCTCATTTTTCCATCAAGTACTCACCCTAGTCACTTCACCATTCAGATATTACTTCAATGCCATTTTTCTACTGAGTGGTTTCTTGTTCTTTCAGTTAGAAGTACTCTTTCTTCCCCTGAAGTTTTCATATTATACTTAAAATAACCAAAACAGTATTGTGTTTGTTTCAATATAGTACTCTTCTGAATAGTTTTTGAGAATAGGATCTATAAATATTGATATCCCCAAAGAGTCTCACTCAATGTCTCAAAGAATAGGTTTATAAAGAGAAAGAATATGTGTTTAGTTTGGACTTCTGAATTTTCAGCTGGGATATGCAGTAATTATTTTCAAATACTTTAACATTTATCTTATGTTATGGCAATTGAACTGGCCTTATATGGTCAATCAATGGTTGCTAAGGACAATTATGCAACCATTATAAAGAAGAAATTTTCAGCAAGTAGAATTCTCTGAAAATTGAATGAACTCACCAAGAGTGACTTAATTGTTCCCAGACATGTTCAAGGAGAAACAGTGCATTAATATTTCTTCTAAAGCCTTTTCTATATGCAAGAAGCCCATTGAACAAATCAATAAAATGGTAGTCCCATTAGTATGTTTCGTAAGTTTTAATTGTAGACATTGACTATTGACATTGGTGTTTCTTCCCCATCCTTCCAAACTTCAGTTACATTCATCTCCATTTTATTTGCCTTTAAACATTATTTGTTTTTTACTTATGAAAATGCTTAGGTTATATATCATTTTATTTTTACCACTAAGTTAGATGATTTTATTTCCATTTTTTGGATAAGAACTTTATATAGGTTAAATCTCTTCTTCAGAGATTCAATGTTAAATATACTCAACTGCCCAAACCTTGTCTACAAAACCAATAAATATATATACTGTGCCAGCAGATATACGTACATTTAATACTTTATGTACTTTTTATTAAATTGGTAAATGAGTTTATTTTATAAATATTTTCCCCAGATTTCCCTATATCATTATAAATCACAGACATTCCAAGAGATATACACTTAATGTGTTAAAAATAGAACAAAACAAAACAAAAATCAAAAGCCTGGGATTTCATTTTTTTACCTTCTTTATATGGGAACAAGCATTTTGACAATGCTATACACATTGCCCAGAACATGGATGAAATTATAGTGAATGTGAAATAAAGCATAAGGAAAATCATTATTTCCAGATAGAAATTTGTTTATTAACTAAGAACCAGGACATTTTTTGGAATCAGAACATAATACTCAACAGGGCAGGATTATAAGAGAATCTCAAACATAGAACACTAATCATAAAGAATTTGTAACAGCATTTTGTCGTTCTTTGACAATTTTTGTGCTTCAGCTACTGCTGAGGCTTTCTCCTAGTCCTTGAGGATAAAAGCCAAGTTCCAGCCAATCTTGTTTTATGGCTTCTATGGAAGAGAAGAGTTCCTGAAGTCTTCATTTTTGGTTTTTTTTCCTCTCTGTTTTTGAGCTCCAATCACCATTACTATTTGCAGGTTCTTATAATCAGTCAGTAGAGAAAGGATGAAATAGCTCAACTCATCACGTTTAAGATAATGTTATCTCTCACTTCATTAGCAAGATGCAAGTTAGGCAGTTGGCAACACTACTGATCAAAAGCAAAACCATCAGCAATAACTTGCATACTGGAGGTGGGTGACAATCGCCCTGGCAGACAAGTGACCAGCTGAAGTAAGAAAGCTGGTGACGGTTGTATTTCATGGAAGTCTCTTCAGTGAGTCCATCATAATCAATGTCAGAAATAATATTATCTTCAGGATCAGCTTTTAACACAAAGGGCAATAACAGAGTAGTAGAACAGAAGCTAGCTGGCAATAATGTCTGTGGTTCATGAGCCTGGAAGTTATATGTGAGGTTAATGTAACAAGATTCTTAAGATGCATAAAGCAATTCAGCAGAATATTAGAGATTCTACTACTTAGAATTTGCCCCTTTGGGAAATTTCCAGCTGCTATCTATGCTGCAGATTGATTAATAGCAATTCAGAGATCTGTTACCACTGCATAAATACCTCAGAGGTGGGAAGGTACTGGGTATACAGCTCAGAGACCAGAAGCTTCTAGATGAATAGCTCAGTGGTCGGCAGCTCAAAGGCCTGTAACTCGAGTATTGGCAATTTCTCATTGAATAGGTTTGGGGTTGGCAGCTGCTGGAAATATAACATGATGGTGGGAAGCCAAGATTTTGGTAGCTTCTATACCCCAAACTGCCCAGTCTGCAGTAGTTTAGTGATTGGAGACTCCTGGGTAAGTAGTTAAGTTGCCCAAAGCAGCTGGAACCGTTGCCAAGGGTCTGGCAGGCTTTGGATGCACATGGAGCAGGTCTGCAATCGGATACATACCCCTTGGTCAGGGTGCATGGGCTGCATCTGGTGCTGGGGCTGATGCTGGTCGTTTCACAGATGCTGGACACTTGGCCCGCTGATGGGGAGTTGCAGGGCACACAGCAGGCTGAGGGGTCACAACTTGTGGTGCAGGTCTTGGGTTCACAGCTGGGAGATTCGCAGCTTGGCGCTTCACAGTAGGATTCTTGGCAGTAATCCAGGAGCCAGAGATTTCCTTGGTAGCTACTGGGTAAGCAGTGTCCAAAGGTAGGGCTTACATCACTGGAGCAAAGAGCAGCAGAAGGAGTCCCTGGGATGTAACAGCGAGTTCTGTAGGATGTAGCATTGCAGACCCCAGGATGGCCTGGGACAGACATTGAGCCCGAGTGCATGCTCAGTGGTAGCTGTGCAGGTGTGGTGTGGCTGTGGCCTGAGGACTTTATATATCTTCCCTGGCGATCGTCAGGATCCTCTCCAGACTCTCTTCCTTCTCTGTTCCTGGGACAGTAACACAACAACATCTCATTAGTGTGATGTTTAGCTACAGCTGTTGAGGTCTTCACACTCATACAAAAATAAATTTATTTTGATCCTTCAAAGTATCTATAATTGCCACTTTGGCTGTCACCCATTACTTATTATCTATAGACCATAGCTTCAGTGAATAGTGATTTTAATGTTAATAAGCAAACTCTTACCTGTCAATCAGTGGTTAACAAGAGTTCATGTGTCTATGGGCTTCTGCAGCATGGTTATTAAAAGGTCAACAAGGGTTCAAGTGAGGCAGGGGACTTGTATTTTTCTAGTCTCTTGACTACTGCAAGACTTCAGGACTTGATTTTATTCTCTGAAGTAAGCTAACTGGTTTGACTGTCTCACCGTTGTTGATTAAAAGAGAGTGTGAGGCATCAACCTATTAAGAGAAAAAGTTCTCCCAAATACGTACTATACTCTTCTCTGTGCAAGGTGATGTATTAGTGACAACTTGACATCTGATGTGTTTACAGAATTCAATATGCAAGACTCATATAAATCCCAGTGAGACTTGGTGACCTATCCCAGGCTAAAAATGAACTTGTCCCCATGGGTCAGTGGTTGCTAAGCAGCTAAGACTTTAATGAAATCTCTGTCTTAAAGAGTTTCTTTAATATATACTATCAAAGAAATCTAGTTTCTCAAGATCACTTACTCCTAATTGACCAAAATTATACAATTTTATACTCTATGGCAATTGTCTTTGCTGTAAAATCCAATTGCTGTTAGATATATAACATTTTTCCCCATTTTCCCCAAGTTCTACTTATTCTTGATTTCCCTTCTTTTGCACATAGACTTTATTTTATTCCCATGTTGAAGAATATAGTTATCTTTGGTCTATGCCAACAAAAGGGAATGGCTATGTTGAAAAATTTTATTTGAATAACCTGTAGAGTCACATACATACTAAATGATACTTTTCATTCCTTGTGGTGAAGACCAAAGGAATTTTTTTAAAGATTTTAATTCAGTCTGAAGAATTAATATTTTGTTCTTGAAAATAAAAACTATAATTCATACTTACAGCCTCCATTATTGGAAAAAGCAATGCATTTATTGACAGTGAAGAGTTCAGACAGAGAACAATACTGACTTCTTCAAGTAGGATAAGCTATAGGGATTTTTTTTTTAACAGAAACTGTCCTTGCAAGAGACAGTTAGATTTCCCTCACTGTTTTCTACTTTTCAGCTAAATTATTTAAAAGTACATAAATTTAAACCTACAAATATTCTTCAACATATTTTGAAACCTGAATTTTCTCAGTGCTTCTCCGAGTATTTATTCTATAAGGTGCCAATAAGCAACTCTTTATGAAACATGTTTTTCTGACTTATGGAGCTTCTCTCAGGTGAAAGGCTCATGATCAGAAAGCTATATTTTGAGCAAATTATTTGGCTACACAGAACCTTAGGATTTTGTGCAGAAAATTTTAGTCCTGGGGCAGGCAAAAATAGGAAACAAGATACAAAAGGTAGTTTGTTGATGGCCAACTTTCCACCAAGTTACTGAGTCCTCGTAGATGTAAAAAAGTCCAGAGGTTGAAACTTTAAGACAGGAGTCCTCAAACTTTTTAAACAGGGGGCCAGTTCACTGTCCCTCAGACCATTGGAGAATGTGCACTGTGGGCCCAGGATGAGTGGACTGCTAAGCAGGACAGGCAGCAGTGGTGAAAACACCTGGCAGGCCAGATAAATGTCCAGGCCGGATAAATGTCCTGGGCAGGTGGCATGTGGCCCGCCGGCCATAATTTGAGGACGCCTGCTTTAAGAGATGCATATCATACCACCATTACCTCTAGTCTTTTATTTTAGGCCTCCTTGTAGCAGGTTTGAGGGAAAACAACAGCAACAACAACAGAGTGAGTGAGTCAGTTAGCTGTGAAGCCCACATACTCCCTTTCCACCTTAGCATCAAATAGCGAGGTATTTTAAATTAATATTACTCCCATAAGTGTAAGTCCAGCAAAATAATGTCAAACATCATCTAGCACAACCAATATTCAAAGCATGAGCCTTTACGACATATTTAATTTTTTTTTTTTTTTGGTATGATACTATTCTAAACAAGCAAACATGGAGATTTGCAAAGGCAGGGTTAGCTCACCTCCTCTCATTTGCTTTTATGTTTTATCTTCCTACCCACTCAGAATATCACACTCATATGTAACCATCACGCCACACCCACTCACTCCACCATTTTCTGTAAATAGTACTCTATAGAAATATATTCCATTAATACTTTAGTCTCCATTTTTAAAAGAGACTGAGCAGACAGTATCAGTAACAGAGCACATATCAGGTTTAAATGGCAAGCTTTAGCAGAAAGTAAGGACCACTGTCATCGGATGTCATTGTCTGAAGGCTATGCATTGCTCTGTTTTCACTTAATTACTAAAAGAATATTTTTCTTCCCTTAATTCTCTTATTTTTAATGAATTGCTATGTGTAGAAGGCTGAATAATGCTCCTCCCACACCCATCCATTTCCTAACACTGGGAATCTGAATGCTACCTGATATGGCAAAAGGGACTTTGCTGATGTGATTACATTAAGATCTTAACATGGATTATTAAGGGGGCTGGATGTAATTGCAGAAGTCCTTATAAGAGGGAGAAAGTATATCAAAGAGAGAGAAGGCAAAGTGATGACAAAAGCAGAATTTGAAGTGATGCAGTCACAAACTAAGGAATACTTCTAGAAGCCAGAAGAGGCAGGGAATGGATTTCCCCTTAGTGACTCCAGAAGGAATCGGCCCTGTTGTTATCTTAACTTTAGGTCCATGAGACTGATTTGGGAATTTTGGCCTCCAAAGCTGTAAGAGAATAAATTTTTGTTGTTTTAAATCATGAAGTTTGTGGTAATTTTTTACAACCATCAGAAATATATATAGGTAAATGTAATAGACAGTCTTTCAGTAGTTTGACCAGATTGATCTCTGTACCCAGGGAATTTTAAGATGCAAGGAATAAGCTTCCTAACATCTGATAATTCAGAGAAATATCTATGCCATCTGAGGAATAAGAAACAAACTCCCTTTATCTAATGAGCCAGTAGATTTCTTCTAACTCATTAAAAAAGAGGTATGAAACTCTTTCCCAATTTTATCCAAAGGTTAAAAATCCTTTAGGGTAAACACATAAGATCAAAGAAAGCTAAAATTTCCAGTATGTGGCCCTTAAAGTAATGGAGGACACTTTCTAGCCTCTTAGGTCACAAGAAATTTCATTGTTCTTTTTGCCACCATACATACAATTATCTATTTTTCCACTGGCCAAAATGCTGTTAAATGATGCAAAAGTGATCTTATGATTTTAAGAGCAAAATATATGCAAATTCATATACTTACATAGCAATTAAATTGTAGATATTGAATCAAAATGATTCTTAAACTTAGCACTGATAACCTAAAATCGTCGACACTCTTTCTACGTTTATGTTGTTGGCTTAGTAGATGATTAATGGTTTTGAAAGCCAAAGGGCAGATGAGAAAAATAATGATGTTAGGAAATAAAAATAAATGAAGATAAAGCATTTTTTAAATGGTAACATGTGTTGTTGGAAAGGTAGGAATTTGAGTTTGATTCATGTTTAACTATTCAGGAAAACATGGTACATATGTAATGAGATATAGCCATAATATGAGTTAAACATTTTGAGATGGAACTGTCAGGACTGTGCCTTAATGAGTCATGAATTACTCTCTCACTGAGTACAATTTACACATATCTATTAGCATGTAACCTTGGAAAATTGTTCTTTCTCAGTACTTTACGACCTTCTTTTGTAAATCTAGAGCTAATAGCACATATTTGTAGGACTATCCTACAGATAGAATGAGATAGTAAATGTGAAAATATTAGGAAAGTACATGGCATATAGTAGATGCAAATTAAATGTTACTTTACTTCCTAATTTTCTAAAGCTCTAATTTATAGTATTCCAGTCACCAATTAAACTAAATAAAAAAATATTATTCCTTGTTTACTTTGATGTTGCAAACACATAGTCCTATAATAATCATTGTCTTCTCTAAAAGTAAACGCCATAAATGAACAGTCCTACCCTATTTAGTTAATAAGGTAGGCTTGACAACAGATTACTAATGACTCCTTTTGTATAACCCATATTTTTCTGTGCCACATGTCACTAGCTAGTTCCTGCAAGGATGTGTATGTAGTTGTGAAGAATAAGGGCTCAGTGCTCAGATTCCCTGGATTCTAATCATATCTTTGATGCTTAATTAACTACCACATGTTTCTATAACTTGATTTCCACATCTTCAAAATGGAACTAGTAGTAGTTATTTTCCCCATAGGTGGCTGTGAGAACTAAATGATTTGGTCAGGCATAGGGTAGGAAATACAGTTAATGTGTAGCTGATGTTTTGATGTTAACTTCTATCATTATCAGCCTATAATCTTTGTTAGTATTACTGTTATTAATTATTTTTTTATTGTCATAATCAGATCTCACTTAAAACCCACTACATTATTTATGAGTGCATCAAAAATAAAAAAAAAAAGAAAGAAAAGAAAACACCAGAATAGGCTAATTTCTAGGCTAGATAACTTGTTATGATCTATGTAAATTATATGTTGATCTTAGAAATTCAATTTGAAGACACCAACTAAGTTGAAGGTGCTTCTTGCCATCTATATGGAAAGTAAGACTCCCAGTGAGGACATACCCATAATGGTACATACTATTAAAGTTAGTCTGCCCAGACAAAGGGTGGTCTGGGACAGCAGCAGAGGGGAAATCATTTCATTTGCAGTTTAGAATTGGCAGTTTTAGAGTTGAAGATCATGGTGGCCAAGTTATTGACAACTTCCAAGTGGCTTCCAGGTTAGTTATCATCTAAATGAAGAAAAATACAGGTAACACAGAGAATAAAGAAAATCCTTGAAATTCAACTTACTGAGTCTTTAAGTTGTGTGACCTATTTGAGTTTTCTTATCTGTAAAAATGGAGAGAATAATATCTTTGCATAGGTGTGTTGGGAGATTATTGATCATGTATTGGTATGTCCGAAAAATTGAAGATGATCCATATGCTGGTTATAGTTACTGGGATATGAGAATTTTCATGTAGGAAGAGCAAGTTCCCATTGAATGTTGTGGAAGAACTGAATTAATTAGTTAGTTATGTACAAGAGAGAAATAGATACCAGGTAATAATGATTTTCTCTGTATAAGGATTCATGAGGGGTAGGAAGAAGGACTTAAGTTTAATACAAGACAAAAAACATTGTTGTACTTTATATTATCCAGAACTAAAGTTTATTTAACCCTTTTGTGCTTAATCCCATAAGATAGGATGGACACTGTAACTTGCTCTGTTCAATGGTAATTTAGAAGACATATAGTACTGGCAGTCAGTAAATTACCTATAATATTTTCCCTTTGCCTTTACTGAAAATATTCCAGTTAGTGAATACTCTCTACACCTGGGTCCCAGAAAAAGAATGATTTTGGAGCTGAAACAATGAATGTGTAGTACAGTGATAAGTAGACCATTGCAATTTTAAGCACCTGGAATTTTGGAGTTGTTTGTTACTATGGCAAAATGTAGTCTATTCTGACAAAACGATGTTTGTAATTCCCTTTTTAAGTGTTAGAAAATACAGGGTCATATTTAATGCTCAAGTAGTATGCCATGTTTAAACAGGCTCTTGAAGAGATCTATCTTGTCCGCTTTTTGAGATCCTCTTTTTTTAAATTTAAATGTATTTGTTTAATAAGACTAAAAGTCCTCATTTGAAGACAGTTTATTTAGAGGTAACCATGAAAACTTTTCCTATTTGAAAACATGTTAATGCCATGGAAATCAAGGCATCTTGACAGTCAGAATGTTCTAGTGAAGAAACAAACAGAATCATTTAGAATTTGATCATGTAAAATGGTAGAGGTTAAAACTGCAACTGAACTAGGGCATAATGACCCATCATATTAAGAACAACTTGTCAATCTAAAGATATATATACATAATATATTATATATACATATATATATTTATTTATTTTTTACTGAGCTGTTAGGCAAAATGCTGAGATAACAATTCAGCACAAACTTCTAAAAAATGGAGATTGCCAACCCCCACAAGAAGAGCAAGCTGGTTGAAACTGCTGTACATGTAAGAAACAGGTTAAAAACTATACGACACATGGTGCAGGGGTCTGAAGCTGTTGGGCGCAGAACTTAGAGGCTGCCAACCATAGGAGAGCTCATTCCAAGGATGCAGGTCCTGGACGCAACATTCAATGGTCAATGACAGCCACAAGAGAGAGATAAGGGTCAGCGGCTCACAGCCTTAACAGAGGTGGCTTAGGGGTGGCAACTACTGGACACACAGCTCTGAGGTTTGTTATGCATTGATGTTTGGCAGGAACTCAAGAGATAAGAAGTGATGGGAAAACAGGTAGTTGCATGGCAAAGTCTGGAGATACAGTAAGCAGTGGAAGGGTAGTAAGAAATTTCACAGGTTGTGGGCATAAGCTGGATGATTGGTAACTGGAAGGTTTAGCACATGTCTTTGAGGAACTGCCCGGAAGCCAAGTTTGGCATTGGTTGGGCAAGCTCAGCGCATCACCACAATTCATACCAGTAGAGTAGAGGATAATGGATGAGGTGATAGGAGCATGGCAGTAACTCCCAAAAGAAGAAAAGCTAGAGTTTCCAGAATAGCAGGTGTTGGATGACATGGTAGAGTCTCAAGTGCAAACATCAACTTATCTAAGTCTCCATAAAACGAGATCAGATTGCTTATATACCTTGATGGCTACATACCCAGACTCTCCTTCTCCCCATATTCTAGATCAATTTGCATCATAGTATCTCATTAGTTCACTGCTGAGTTGCCTGTGAAAATGATTTCCAAATCATCTGTAAATAAGTTCAGTAGTTCAGTTTGCATCTTCCATATATCTGCAATCCTAATCTTTCTCCTGTTTATCAGGCTTGAGAATTTGTGTGACGTAATTGCTTGTGTATTTTATCTGCTTTTTTTCCGTTCTGTTTCCACCTCTCAATAATATGTGATTAAAAGGAGTCTATTTGAATGGATGTTTATCCTATTCATTATCTAATAGAGACAACATAGTTAGAAAGGTACATTTCTCATCTTTGAAGAAGAAACATAATGTTGCAATGCTTGAAGGTGATGTTGGTATTCTAAAATACCTTCCATACATCAAAACTTATTGAATTTTTTAGACAAAAAAATCTCATGCCATTCCCTATTTTCCATACTCAGCTGAGTATCTAATTGTGTGATGTTGCTGTCTGTATATTTGTCTTGATGGTCGATTTTATATATGCATCTTAGAGCACATTTTAAAGAGTTCTGCCCTGAAAACTTAATATCCTTCATATTTAAAAGTTGAGTTTGATTTCCAAAGACTTGAGGAAATGCACATACTATTTCTACATGGTAGCATTGATGACATATTTGTTTTTACTAATAAATATACATTCCTACTGGTGGTTTTCAAATAAGGGGATAAACACGGCATTAATAGTCATCAGCTTGTGCACTAGCATTCCAGAATTAATGAATATCTTCACATGAGACAATTTACTAGGAGACTTTGATCTTCACACAATTAAACTGAGCAAGAATTAAGCAAAAATTTAATATTGCACAAAAAGATATCTGAAGAGTTCTTACTTGGACACCATGGAACAAACAGTTTCTGCCCTTATTTTGGATTCTTCCCCAAAGTTGTGAGTTCATGTTTACACATCTATTTCTTGGAGTCATTTGTCCTACAAAACCAGAAATATCTCTTCTCAAGCTTCCCCTCAGTTCATCAAAGGCAATGAGTTGATGATGAGTGGAGGAGAGTAAAGATTCCCAGCAGTCATTTGGCATCTTAGATCATAATTGATGATCCTTTTGGTGGAAGCTTTCCTATTGCACAATACTCCCATTGTCCTGGCATTGCTAGCTGAAAAGTCTGGAAGACTGATGAATTTTTTTCCCCCAGGAAAAGACATGGAAAAATTCTTATAGGGTTTTTTTTTTTTTTTTTTTTTTTTTTGAGACAGAGTCTCACTTTGTTGTCCAGGCTAGAGTGAGTGCCGTGGCGTCAGCCTAGCTCACAGCAACCTCAAACTCCTGGGCTCAAGCGATCCTCCTGCCTCAGCCTCCCGAGTAGCTGGGACTACAGGCATGCGCCACCATGCCCGGCTAATTTTTTATATATATATCAGTTGGCCAATTAATTTCTTTCTATTTATAGTAGAGACGGGGTCTCGCTCTTGCTCAGGCTGGTTTTGAACTCCTGACCTTGAGCAATCCGCCCGCCTCGGCCTCCCAAGAGCTAGGATTACAGGCGTGAGCCACAGCGCCTGGCCCTTATAGAGTTTTGATCTCACATCCATGCAAGTAAGAACAGAGGGAGGGAGAGGAGGAAACAAAGAGAGAGGAGAGAAATCACACTTGTGATACATTTTTGATATTTTATTTATTTACATAAAACATAATATTTGGTGCAGATGTAATGTGAGGTCTCTCTTCTGAATTTCACCTTTTTTATTTCAGACAGAGGAAGAAAAAATGTTTGACATTTTACATCGAGAATTTTCAAAGTCAATGTACTACATTGTTCTTAAAGAAAGCCTCAGATCACTTCATATCAATGTAAGGCCTGTTACTGGTAGACGAGAACAGAAAAGATTGGAGTCACTGAGACTTGAGATAAGTTTGGAGGTCTATCTGACATTTTCCCATCTCTTCTAAGAATTTTTAGACCACCAGATAAATGAAATCTTTCAAACACTTATACGCTTCCAAAGAAAATTCCTCTCACCTTCATAACTCCCAGCTGAAATATTTTGTGTGTGTGCACCTCACCTATGTTCTTCATGATTTAGTTCAAGTCTCTTTTAGCTTCCTTTGTTCTTTGTAAAATTTGAAAACAACTGATAACCAACTCTCTTCCTCAGCATTTAGGCATGCAACATATGGATTTCAAAAAGAAAACTAAAATCTTTCTTTTTAACCATGGTAAAAATAGATTTTTGTCTTTGCAAAACTGCTTTTGAAATGTATCTGGTAACTAGGACACCATTGCAGCTAGAGTTAGCAAAGTAAATATGATCCCATCATTAATCATCATTAATTAAAATGTAAGTTAGATGAAGGATACGTAACTTAGAGAAGCCTGGTATCATTAACCAATTTTTCACATCTTGATGACAAGTGGAAGAGAAGCCCAATATATATACCTATTTGATGTGTGTCCTAAATTATTATTTTTAATTCCATTTTTAATTTCTTCCGGTGTCTGTACAAATTAATAGTTCCTTAAGCTTATCACATCTCCATGTAGTTGCCTGGCTCAATAGACTGAGATCAACAAACTACTGAGAAGTTATATATTTTGTTTGAGATGATTGCTAGAGTATACCATGAAATCGACATATGACAATGAAAATTACATCTGAGGGTTCATGATATTTTATTCTTACATAATGGTCCATTAATGTGCTAAATCTTATATAGAGTTCATAAGTCTAATGCATCCTTCCTATTTTCATTTCTTTGTAAACCACAGATTTTTATGACTCCCTGTTGCCTACATGATAAAGTCCACACTCCTGAACGAGGTTAATAAAATCTTCAATATCTGAGACTAACATATGTTTCCATGGCCTCTCCATTCTCTTATTCCAGAACACATTTCAGTTTCATTTAAATGTTCAAAATGTCACAAAACTCTGTTTTATTCAGTCTCAGAGACTTTGAATAAGCTACTCTCTTTCTCTATTGCACCTCTTGCAAATTACTCTACATTTTTTTTTTTTTTTTTTACAGCAGGGATGGCTGTCTCAGAGATACTTTCTGCATCTCTTTACCCATCTTCATGCATGGTACCATAAACATTCTATTTGATTTTCTCCCTATTTTCATATTGGCCTAATTGTCTTGGCTGTGTATGGTGATAGGAAAAGGGACCACTTTGTCAATTCCTCACTCATTCTTTCTTTTAGAGTATTTCTAAGTACTCTGACTTTCTTAATACAGTGTCCAGATACAGTCCTCCAAGCTGTCCTCATTGTCACAACTGCACAGCTTACCTCTCTACTTCACTCTTTACTCTTCCAATCTATTCCTTACATTATGTTCAGAGTAATATTGTTCCTTTATTTACTCCTTCTCTAATAATCTTCCTTTCTTCATGCAGATCTGAGTTTCTGACCTATATCATTTTCCCTCCTTCCAAAGGATTTCTTTCAACATTTCTTGCAAGGCAGATCTACTGGCAACAAATTCCTGCAATTTTTTTTTTTTGTTTGTTTGTTTGTCTGAGGAAGTACTTATTTATCCTTCATTTTTGAAGAATAATTTCACTGGATACAGAATTCCAGGAGAGGTTCCTCCCTCCCAATATTTTACATATTCCATTCTGCTCTCTTCTTGCTTGCATGGTGTTTAAAGAGAAGTCTGATGTAGTTTTTCATTTTGCTTTTATATAGGTATGGTGTTTTTCTTCCCTCTGTCCTCTCTCAAGATTTTTCTGTTTTCTTTGGTTCTCTCTAGGCTGACAGTGATATGCCTAGCTGTAGATTTTTTGGTATTTATTCTGACTAGTGTTTTCTGAACTTCCTGAATCTGAGATTTTTAGTGCCTATCATTAATTTTTGGAAATTCTCAATCATTATTGCTTCACATATTCCTCTTGTTCCTTTCTCTCTTTTTTCCTTCTGGTATTCTCATTGTGTATATTCTATACTTTTTGTAATTATTCTATAGTGATGATTTCCCAGTTTTTGCATGCTGCACTGGAAATCGGAAGTCCAGAAAAAAATATTTTTATAACCAGACAATGATATTTTCTTATTTAGAACTATAACAAGCTCTTTGTTTTATTTGAGAGTAAAATGAAAAGCATTTATTTCAAGACTCTTAATAGTCTGGGCCATGTCTACCTCCACAATCTCATTTCCCTCCCCTCTTCCCATGTCCCTATCGACCTTCATTTAGTTCCTCAAATTTGCCAAGAAAAAATTTCAACCACTGGTCCTGGCACATTCAGTTTCCTATCCCCAGACCATGCTTCCTCCCACTTTTTGCACAGCTGATTTCTTTTCATCCATTGTCAGGTCTTAAGACTTCACTGCTCAGAGAGAACTCCACTGCCCATCCCATCTCATTTGCACCTTCCTCCACTCAACTTTTATGCCTCTATACATGAACTCAATTTAGTTCTTTCATGATAGCTATAATCATATGAGCTATAAATACACATAAAATTATTTTTGTGTTTATTGATCATCTACTTTACCAGATGTCAAATTTCATGAGGACAGGAATAGGTTCTATTTACTCACTGTTGTATCACAGTACATTGAAGACTACAGGTCCCATAGTAGTTATTCAATAAATATTTTTGAATGTAGCAATGAATGGAGAGATTCATCTCTCTTTTTTTAAACATCTCTGTAACTTACTTTATTATCTATAGAACTGAAAAAGTAATTTATGAGAGTAATTGATTTAGATATCATAAGGATGGACAGAACAAAGTGATCTAAACATTGCAGGCAATGACCATATCTTCCCAAGACAGAAGCTCCGAAAAATTGAAAGGCATTTCATAGTTGAAAATATACCTTTTTTTATTTTTTATCTAATCACATTTTAATATTGGTTTATCCTTTGTATTTGTGAATGGAAGGAACCATTTCAAAGTGGATGAAACCTTAATCAATGTTGGGCAGGTGGGAGGGGGAAGGAGGGCATAAGTAAACTCACACCTAACAGGTGCTGTGCATGCTGTCTGGGGGATGGGCATGCATGTAGCTCTAACTTGAGTGGTACAAAGGCAGTTTATGTAACCAAACATTTGTATCTCCATAATATTTTGAAATAACAAACAACAGCAACAAAAAACAAAGTGGATGAATGATAAAATTAGTGACATATTTCTTGTTTACAAAGCATGTTTACTGTTCCTATAAACTGTGAACCATTCAATTATGTTGTATTTTAGTCCTCAGTGCAGTTACAATTTGACTTTTTTCCTGTTTTTTTTCTTTATCTTTTTGAGGACTAACAGCATAATTAAAATTCACTGGTATATCAAGCTCTCTCAATGGAGTAATATTAGCATTTAGCTGTATATAATAACAGAAATAATATGTTTTGAATTCAAATTTGGATTCTCTTATTACTAATGAGATCTTTGGCAAGGAGTTTAATCTCAATGAGCCTGTTCGTTCATCAGTAAGACAGAAGTAATGTTAACTATCTTTGAAGTTGTGAGAAAAATTAAAGTTAATATTTATAAAAAGCCTGGCACCAGAAAGGTGGGATGAATTATACATTTTTTCCGTAATTTTTCTGCAGGACTGGCATACAGCAGACTTGAAATATTTGAAAATTAAGTAAATGATTATAAAGTAGGAGACAGGTTCTAGAACATGTAGATGTGGATTTAAATCTCAATTATACTGTGTGCATGTGTGTATGTATATCTATTTTTATTTGTCTACCTATCTATCTGTATTTTACTTTACTCAGCTTATTTTGAACTTAAGTCTTATTTTGTATAAACACAATGATAATTTTGGTGCAAGAGAGTGGTGATGAGGATTAATGTGGTAATGTGTAAGAAGTGCCTGGCACATAGAATTCATTCTCCATGTTCCCTACCCTATAGAAATTACTTATGTCAGCACTGGTCAAGATTAAGCCATAATGCCTGGTTATAAACATCGAGTTTACTTGACAGTTGGTCATGTTAATGAGCTATGATAATTTAATGTTGAGATGGGCAACTGGAATTTGAAAAATAGCAATTTTAGGAAAGAGGACTATAGTCTTGTAGTTACAGTGCAAGTTGAAAACAAAAATGAAGACACCCCAAGGTTTGGTAAATCAAAGAAAGAGCATTGAATGTCTTAGTTGTATAAAACAAAGTTACAGTTTTTTCATAGTTGCATCAGAACCTTAAATATAATGTGGAAATAGGGATTTTTTTTTAATTCAATTCTGTCTTAGGTTAGTCTCTGTTCCAGAAACTGTTAAGTGTTCTTCCAATTCTACATTCCCCTCTTCCTTCTGTATACATGATTACATTATCTATAACAGCTTCTTTTGTGGTTAGGTAAGGCCAAAGGGCTGAGTTCTATACTAAGCAGCAATACAGTATGCAAACCCTAGGGTGATCTTGACAGCCACATCACAGTCAAGTCTCTGCCAACTAATCTCTGAGTGACTACAGAGAGCGCTTCTCTGCTGACCTCTTTGCCCAGTATTGTTAGAAGAACAAGAAGGAGTTTAAACCATCATGTATTTGTGGACTTATCTTCTGTTACAACACTTAGCCTATTATAGCTAGTGAATCCTGCTTAGGCTAAATTTGGTATTTCCTGAAGGATCCTAATGCCAAATTCCAAATGCAACCATGTAGCACATGAACCCTTTAACAGTCACTGAGTCATATTGCTCCATGCACTTTGGTAATTTTTCATAGGTTTCTTTTAATGAATCATTTTCTCTACCTCTGGAAGCTTTTAATATTCTACAAAATTAATCCATAGTCTAAAAATCATCAATGTTGCATAAGGGATTGACATATCTTAAGGGAATAACTAGACATAAAATAAGGTACACATAAATGATAATATAAAAAGTATGATTTATATGCCAAGGTATAATTTAATTAATAGAAAATAGAGAAAAGAATTTTTACCCAGGTTGAAAAACATCAAACATTTTTTAAATATAAAAGTAAGTGATAATAACTCCTAAAGAAAAGGAAATCTTGTTAAGGAGATTTAATACAGAACTACAAGAGATGGCATAACCCATATAGAATAAGAACTATTGATGAATGATGTCTCAAAGCCAGCAAGCATGAGCTTGTTTCCAGATATTGTTTCCAGATATTCAAGATGATTTTCTCTAATGAGGATACTGCCATTAACTCAAGGAAAAGGAGTATGGTTGAAAATTACTATAAGTATAGTTTATGGATCTGCAGCAGTTTAACATGTAGCTAAGAGGTTGGCATACGTAGGACATATGTATCAGGGGTTGATGATCATAGGTCAGGTATCTCAGGGGTTGTTGGTCATAATTCAGGTTGTTCAGGGTTGACAGCCATAGGACTGGTGGCTTAGAAGATAGCAGCTTAAAGATTGTCTACAGGATGCTGGACAACAGGAACTGGAACCACATGATTTGATAGGAAGAGAGCTAGTTCGTTGATGGGATCCAGACTACTCAGAAACAATCAGAGTGACCAGAAGAGCTAAAGGCACTGCTCTTACCACAGGGCTCATGGCAGTTGTCACGGAGTGTGTTGCTGCCTGACCTGCTACTAGGAGAGCAGGGGGCATCTCCATAGCTCACCTCAGTGGAGCACAGAGCCCTGGGTGGGGTGACAGGAACATGGCAGGAATTCCTAAGGGAGTGAGAGCTGTAGCTCCCAGAGTAGCAATTGCTGTAAGACATAGTGGAGATAGAAGATCAAGCCTTGATTGAATCGCAGAGAGCTGATTGCTGCAATGTGATTGTCATCTGCTGGACCTATCATTTACACATACCCTGGCTTCTGGGTGTTAGTTCACTCTGTAGCCCGTCTTCCTGCTCAGAGTTTAGAACCATTTGTGTGGCACCTCATCAGGATGTTATTTAGTTGCCAACAAAGCAGTTCCCCCACCAAACCTATAAAATGCATATTATCAATATCATATCCTTCAGATAACTGTCATTCCAAAGTCAATCTGGTCTTCCTTGCTCCATCTTCCTTACAGTAGGTCAACTGCTTCATCAGAAATCATGTTCTTTTATCATTCTTGATGATTCCTTGGAGTTACTGTTAAAAATTCACAATGGATCTGCATATTTGCAGAGAATTTA